GGGTTGGGTTGCCGAGGGTTGGGGCTGAGGAGCTGCTGCGTGCGAAACACGGCACGAGCCGCCGCTGCCGCACCTGCACGTCCGCCGTGCTCTCCTGGGTGCCGCCGATGAACTTGCGGCACTTGGCGCTGGCACAGTAGCAGCGCATGGGCTTGTCGCCGTAGCGCTCAAAGTTGTAGTCAAACGTGAGCTCGTCGCCGGCGGCGACGTCGGTGAGGGCAAACAGGCCGATGGCCAGCTCGCCGCGCACGAGCCACTTCTGGGTCTCGCAGTTGGGGTCGCAGCTGTGGTTAATGAAGCGCGCCTGGTTGCCCTGTCGAGAGGAGGGTGCGTGCGCGCATCGCGCGCGTCAGTAAGCTCCCTCCAAAGCCCACCGCTGGCTAGATGCCGCTGCACACTTAAACCTCCCCGCGCCACCACCTCCCCTCTTTCTCCGCTGCAAATGCGCCTGTGGTCTGCCTCGAACAAAGCATCCCGCCGTCACCGCCGCGCGCGGCTAAGCCAGCCGCCGTGCCCCTCGCTCCAACCGGCGCCTGATGCGCAGCCAATTGGCATGCAGACCCCAGCCCCAGCCACCCTGCTCCGCAGCGCAGGCGCCCTGCCGACGGCCTCGCGAGCAAGGTCCTCATATGCCCACACGCTGAGGCGTCCGGCGCGCCTGTCCCGCCGGCCAAGGCGGCCGCACCTTGCGGCACGCGTCGATGACCTCTCCGTTCCCGACGTTCATGAAGTAGTAGTGGCGCTGGCCGGTGGAGTTGTAGTAGTCCTTGCGCCGCAGGTACTCCTCCTCCTCCAGCACCTTTGGGGGGACGATTTTGGGGGAAGGTTTAGGGTTTGAGCTGCACCCGGCTGGAGGGGACAAGGGGGGCGAGCAGGTTTTGGCAGCCAGCGGATGCTGCGTGTCATGGTAGCGCTGCGCCGACGACGGCGTGAGGATGCCGCATGTTGCTGCTGCAGGCGGCCATGACGGAGACCGCGCGACGCCGGGTAGTGCAGGCGGGGTCGCGATGTTACGCGCAGCCTGCCGCCCCGTCGCTGTGTAGAGCCACGCTGCTGCCACCTAGCTGCGGCCATGCGAACTGCCGCCTGCCCTGAAGCTCGCGTCTGCACTGCATCTTCTTGGCAGCCACCGCGCAATCGGTTCCATCCCTCTGCCACCGCGCCCCAAACAGCTGCCAACAGCTTTTCGCCCCCGCGCCGGCTGCATCACACTGTGCCTCTGCTCGCAGCTGCAGCACCCAAAGCACGCACCTCCCCAATGTATTCAATGATGAACTGCCCCGCCTTGATGTCCTGCTCAGCCCACAGCCCAAAGCCCTTGGGTCCTGCGCGGCGCTGCGGGCAGGTAGCAGCGGGGCCAGGGTGGCCGCATGCGCGAACATTGGCTATGGCCAACTGCGATGTGAGGGACGCCAGGCAGATCGCTGCCGCTGCCCGGCTGCTTCCCCCCTGCACGTGCCCACAGTGCCCGTCCACGTCAGCACCAAGGCCGCCGCTGCGAAGAACACACGCACAGTCCCTCCGCCGCGCCGCCAGCGCCGCCGCGGCCGTTGGACTCACCACCGCGAGCTTCGCGTACTGCTTCCGCGTGAACGTCTGGTTGGTGCAGTGGTTCTCGCAGGGGCAGAAGTCGTCCGTGCACTCGATGCACAGCATGCGGTTGAGGCAGTTGGGGCCGCAGCCGTCGCCGCCGCGCCAGGGGGGCGGGCACTGGCAGACCATGATGTCGTCCTCGTCCTGCACCTTGCGCTTGCGGTGGCTGAATAGGTTGTCGGATATCAGCTGCCACACCGCCGGCAGCTTCCCGGCGGGTGCCGGGGCCGGGTGATGCTGGTGCGGCGCGCCGCCGTGCTGCTGCTGGTGCGGCTGCTGCGGCTTGCCGGGCGACGGGGCGCCGGCGGCGGCGAGCGCGGCGGCCTGCTGCTTTGGTGCAGGAGCGGACGGCGCACGCAGCGAGGGCCGGCGGGGTCAGCAGCGTGTGTGCATGCAGGCAGCTGCATGGCCTTGGCACAGCACCACCAACTCGTCCCAAACCCGCATGCAATTTTGCGACGGCAGCTAGCAGCAGCTTGTACCCTACATGCGCAGCAATACCAACCGCAAGCGCGTTCAGTTGCAACGGGCAGCTGCCTTGCAGCTACATATCTCCCGCACCAGGTCAACGTCAATCTCCTTGTCCGTGAGTTCCTGGGGCACCTCGCAGCTGGCAAACGCCTTATCTGGATTGTCGTCGCAGTACCTGCAAAAGTTTGTCAAGTGCACAGGATGTGGAACAACTCGGCTGCCCAGCCCCTGCAAAAAATCGACCGGCAGGCAGCAAGCGCAGCTTGCGGCTGCCAACATGGCTGAGTGTGCTGCATGCAGCTCGTGTGAGCACATAAGTTCGAACGCACCATGCGTCGTCGTCGCCGAGCGAGTCGACCACACTCTTGGGCACGCGCCTCCACTTGCTGCAGCGGTCGCACTGCACCCATGGCTGCATGGTGGCCTCGTCCGCCTCCTTCGCGCCAGAGGCGGTAGAGGCCGACATGACGGCTGCGGGCGGCAGCGGCCGCTGAGCTGGCCGCGGCTGCACAGCGCTGCCGCCGCTGGCCAGGCGAGGGTGGCGCCCGCGGGCGCCTGCAGTTGGGACGGCAGCCACCAGAGAAGACGTGGCGTGGCGGGCGGGCGTGTGGGCACCTAGCTGGCTGCAGGCTCAGCTGGAACCTCCCACTTCTAACATACGGCTGATGATTTCACACCACAAAGCGGCCGGAAATAACTGACACAGAATGGGAGGGTGCATCATGCAGGCTGCAAGCGTCAGCAGCGCTGCAGCTGAGCCCCCACCTGTCGGATTTCAAGGCTCCGTGCCTGTGATGGTCCCAGGCATGTGCAGCCGTTAGCAACCTTGTATGACGTGTGTTCAATGCATCTGCATGGACGGCACGCACGTCTGAGGCCGATGCTGGCGCCGTTGTGGTGCGGCAGAGGCGCAGCGCACAGCGGCGCACACCACGCAGCAAGAGCGCCTAGAGCGATACACACCTGCTCAGTCCTTTGCCTTCAATGATAGGTGTCTGCAAGCTCGGTGGCACCGCTTAGACCGCTGGGCGGCGAGAATAGGATCCCATGGCAACTCGTTCACAACACCTGCAGTCTGGCGCGTTCAGGAGGAGACTCAGCATCACATGTGAACGAACCAGTACGTGCCACTTGAAAACTGAACTGATTGTAATCTTTCCAAAGAAGGCGGGCGGGTGTGAAAAGTGATCTGAGTTACTTGTATCAAGCAATACCAGCCATCAAACAGAGTTACGTGAACATCGAGTAGGTGCTTCCAGATACCCTGGCAGGTTCGGCCGATCGACCAGGGCAGGACAGTACATGGCCATGAGGGACATGAAGCTCCTTCCGCTGCTGCTGTTGACAGCCGGGGCAGCATGCGCTCTGGCAGATCCGATAGCTGGCGGGCTGGCCACGCCCCTGTTTGCCTGGTCCTCAGTCCCCTGCTTCAGCACCGAGCCTGGGCGTGCTGTGCTCGAGGTGGGTCTCATATAGGCCTACATGGGCTCGTAATGGCTCTTATGTATGATCGGAAGCTCCTGGACGCGACCTGCCCAACATGCGCACCCGTTCGACGCTGCGATCTGGCGACCCTCATGCCCACTGCAGACATTCGTCGCCGTCAAAACCCTGCCTGCCACCCTGCCCCTCGACAGGCTGCCACAGACCTCAAAGCACTTTTGGGCGACATTGTTGAGGGCGTCGCGCGGCCGCGCACCACTGGGGAGCCTTTGTCGCCACTGCTTGACGGGGCGGCGCTCGAGCACGGGGCGCCCGAGGTGGTGTTGGTCATGCTCGGCTCTGAGGTGCGTGCCGTGGCTGCAGCTTGTGATTGAGGCGCATGCGTCTCTGTAAGGCGCCATGTGCTCCAATGGCTTTGATTGTGCACCAGGCTACCCGCTTGCATTTGCGATTGCTAATTGGGGTTGTTTGTGACCGCTGCCGGGGTTCCCGAAACCCGCAGGCCCGTGATGTCAGCGGCTCTCCCGCAGCGCCGAGGAACCACATGCCTTTGCGCTCCCTCTGGTTATCGCATCGCCTTCGCAGCTGCGCACGAGCGACCTGCGCCGCAAGCATGTGGCGCCCCTGCAGGCCCTGGTGGACGGCGCCGTGTCGTCCATTGCCATGCCCTTTGTCATGCATTCCGTAGAGGTGCGAGAGCCGGCAGGCAGGGAGGCTTGAGCCGCCTGGAGACCGCAAGGCTCGCTATGGGTCCAGCAGCCGCTGTCCAGCGTCCGAAGCTGGAGTCACAGTGGGGTTTTCTCTGGGCAGCGTTTGCCGCCTGTTCTCACCACTAGGAGGCTTGCGTATCCACCCCACGCCTGTAGGAGGCCCCTGTGGAGCTGAAGGAGCTTCAAGAGTCTCTGAAAGCGCGTCTCCCGGGACAGCAGCTGCTGGTGCGTCACCAAGCAAGCCTAGCCGCCTCACGATGTGCTCTCCGGGGCGGTCGCACAGTCCTGCCTCCGCCGGCTGCTGCCAACGCATGCTCTGTGCAGCAGCGCGCGCTTAACAACCCTTCCCGCCCGCCTCATTTCCGGAAAACAGACGGCCGGCTGCGGCGAGGGCAGCTCCCTGCAGGAGGTGCCGCAGCTGCTGGCGTCCACTGGCGCCGCAAGCGTCGGCGCCGGCCCGCGCGTCGTGCTCGGCTGCACGGCGCCCCTTGCCGGCCGCAGCGGCGTGGCTGCGGTGGAGGACGAGCTGCGGCAGGTCAAGGC